ACTGCTGTCCACACCTACTGCTGTAAAAATAGCTGAGCAAAATACCTGGTTACATCGAACTCACATCACCATTTCGACTACCATCAGGTAATTGTCCAGCCAGCCTAGCATGTATGCTGGAGATGTTTAGAAGTCCTTCGCTGCCCCCAAGTGTAACCTGTATTTCTTTCTGCATTATTGCATACAGCAGGGCATGCAGGATGTTCGGAATGTGCTGTTGAACGTTTATCCCTAACAACACTGCACCTAATGGAACTGAACCAAGCATTAGAAGGCCTGAAATGACTCAGCACTTTTCCATGCATGGTATCAGTCAGCATTTGCGGAAATGAACAGGATATTGAAATCCAGCTCGAAGTACCAATCCAGACGCCGCTTTCTCTCGGAAGACCCTTCCCCTGATCTGTGATACAGTCTTGTCAAGGAGATCTACAGATAATTCCTTCAGTTTGGTTTGTGCTCTGACTTGCACTGTTAACTTTGGGATTTTAAATAGACAGGTGTGTGCTTTTTCAAATCATGTCCAGTCAAGAGAATTTACCACAGATGGACTCCAATCAAACTGTAGAAACATCTGATAGATGATTACTGGAAACAGGATGTATCAAAGCTCGTTTCTCAGTGTAATGTTAAAGGCTGTGAATACTGTAAATATATTTTTGTTTTCAATAAAATTACAAGAATTTTAAGCACATTTTTTTTCCACTTTGCAATTATGGAGCATTGTGTACAGAATCTTTGAGGTGAAAAACAAAATGACTCTATTTTGCAATAAGGCTGTAACGTGAGAAAATGTGCAACAAGTGCAGTGCTGTAAATACTTTCCAGATGCAATGTATTTTTGTCACTAAATGACAGTGACAAAGTTTTCTCATGATAGTCTGTCCTGGTTTAGCAAAACTGTGCACCTACCCTTGTCTGCCAGAAGGATGATGATGATATTACTAAGCGGTATGAGTGCCGCCTTCTCCTTGATGCTTACTTATATATTATATATACTTATATGCTTGGGTCTTTGCATTGCCAAGACAGGCCAAAACTTTAATCCACAATAACAGTCCGAATAGGGGAAGAAGCTGTTTGTGGAAGTGTGGGAGTCTGATTGACCTGAGGAGTCAGCCAGTGTGTAGCGGGTCAAACAGGTGGTGGGATGGAAGACAGGAGGAGCTGGCGATGGACTGCAGGGGTGGCAGAGCGCAGCCAGGGATTTTTTGGGTAGTGTTAATT